TTTTTAGACCAAAACTGATGACGCTTGGGAGCTGATAATGGCCGGCTACAGAATCTACAAACGCAACGCTGTCTTTACGATCGGATCTATACCAAGAAAGAAGAAGGGGGTCATTAAAGAAGACTGCAACTGTGATCCCCCTCCGCTAAGGTGTCCTCCTGGACCAAGAGGCCCACGAGGAAAACCAGGCGTTTTTGGAAGGCCCGGCATTGACGGAGTGCCGGGAAAACCGGGCGTTCCTGGTATGCAATTACTTTTGAAGGGATTTCATAACAACGGCTGTATCATGTGCCCGGCTGGCCGGATGGGGGATGCTGGTCCACCTGGGGAGACGGGGCCTATCGGTCCACCTGGAGCAATTGGCCTACCTGGTGAGGTCGGAAGTCCAGGAGCGAACGGAGATGTAGGTCCAGAAGGTGATAAAGGCGTGCGCGGACCCAAAGGTCTACCTGGTTTTGTTGGAATGCCTGGAGAGGCAGGCACTCAGTATTTGCCTGGTCTTGAAGGCATGCCAGGTTTCGAAGGTCCTCCTGGTCCACTTGGACCAAAAGGTCAACCTGGAAAAGATGGAAGCCCAGGAGAAGCTGGTCAACAGGGTTTTGAGGGAAAAAGAGGACGAGATGGCATGCCAGGTTCTCCGGGTAGAATGGGACCAACTGGAATCGACGGTCGACCTGGACCTGATGCTACGTACTGCCCGTGTCCGTCAAGAAATTCAAAGTTATTTGACTGAACGTCAAACTTGGACGAATAAAATAATGAATGTTTTTCAGCAAAGCGTGTGAATTCTGGAAACGATCGTGAAAGGTAGGGTAGAGAGAGGAGGAGGGAGTAGGGATAGTTTAATGAATCTCTCAGTGGTGAAGAGGCTTAACGCTGTTGTCTATGGTTTGCCGTTGAAGTGTGGTCAAGTTCTGAACTGGAGCAAATAAAATCACATGACTTTCTGAAGAAGAATGCTGGTTCGTTTATTACACCCTCTCTTCTGCTGCTTTTTCAATTAAAAGTTCCATCTCTTCAAATCTGCATCGAGCACATAGTCGTAGATAATTCATAAAGGGTTGAGAGAAAGCAGCGGTAAGATTGCGACTATATTAAAGCTAGCCGGCGTTCCCGGTCCGGCCCGGACGGGGGTAAGCTGGCTCGGAAAAACACTGCAGTAGTTCCAATGACCACCCTCTCTTTGTTAGTGCATTACTTTACCCTTACTCGTTCAATTCCTCTGCTCTTGATCCATTTCCTAAAGCAGCGTTTTCATGGTGGATTCGTCTTCCTTTCTTGCTCCCTCGCTGTGTATAACACCGCATACTTCTCAATGCGCAAATGTAGATGAACTTCACCGCCCTCGTTTACATGACTATAGAAGATGCTTGGTCGAACACGAAAAGATTTCATTTTCCTTACATGCATGTAAGTAAACAAATCGGTAAATCGATAGAAGGACTCAGTAAATCGTCGCGAAAGGTAGCCTATTTTTTGCGCCGTGTTTCATTCATAGGGAAACGAAATTCTGCCTCTTCTGCTGGATTCATACTGATCCGCAAGTCCAGAAGAGTTTCACCACAGCTATGCATTCGAGCGCTGTGTGGAACTCTTCCGGAACTAACGGATCAGTATGAACGCAGCCTTCGGTTCACACACAAAGGAGTCTATAAGCCACAAACATCCTAACAAACATTTTACAGTGTTTGTTCTACATAAATATAGATCACAATTGAGTTTAAAGAGAGTTCCTCAAAACGTGCAGCTGTTCTGGATGTCCTTGGTCACACGCCGTCTACACAAACATCACGATACAGCTTTATCCGGTCGATTAGACAAGAAGATTGAACGTGATCCAAATGGATAATTAAGATTTTATCCTATAAACAACAATCCAACATTTCTACTCTACAATAAAATGTAACAATCTAAGATCGTCAACTCTATATGTGAGTGTGCAGACTATACGACTCACGTCACCATTAATACCAACTTCTCAGTGTAGTCTCTTCTAGCGTAACAAACTATAGAAATGTGTGCCATCAACCATTACATATCCATTCAAGTCAAAAGAAATAAGATAACAAGGAGGAAACAGGAAATTGAGCGTTCTAATCGAAGTTCGTCAAGTAGCGTGCATAGTGTGTAGTACGCATGTCGTGTTAGAAACGATATTATTTCTGACCGCGACCTACATTCCATAGGTCATGACAGATTGTAGTACAACAGATACCAGTGTTGCAAGCCAATGGATATCACCACACATAATAGCAGATTTCTGGTGGCCTAAACATCGATGCATTCTTTCAATGTGAGACTCCGCGAATTTTTACTTTGCGTATCTTGTTCATATTTTTATTAGAAAAAACTTAGCCGATGAACAACTTGAGCAGCAGAATTAATTCGCTATGTTCGCTATTTAGAATTCGCAGTCAAGCTTTGTGTCTACCTGTACAGTCAACGTTATTTTTGAGAAACTCGCTACGGGCACTAGTTTGGTATAAATCACAATCTTCACCAGATAGTCGTAAAGATGGATTTTCCGACACACGCACAGGAAGATAGCTGAAAATCAAGTTTGGGGTGCTGAAATTTACTGAAGAAGCTGGTACCTGATAAAACGATCGATTTTGTTTAGGTAGATCGATTTTAGTCGGGGATTCGAGTCCACGATCAGGGCGGAATTGTTAGCTACAAGAAAGAATTGTTGTGATGTCAATTACGGGATCAAGTTCTCGAAGATACCTTCCAAGGTGTAAATATCGACAAGCTTCCACAAAGGAGCAAAATTCTGCAAGCTCGTATTCGATATGTGCAGACATCCGTAAATTCTGGTTACATTGTAGAGTTTCCATAGATCTTGACTGGGAGCATTCTGATCCAGTATGAGGTTGCCTACAAGTGTTCTGCAACCGCCAGATAGGCTTTCTAGATAGGCACTTTTGCCAATTCTGCATACATCTTCGACAGTCTCATCAATAGATATCTCTAAAAAATACCAAAAAGCTTTATCTCTGGAAATTGAGGGGAATGATGAAAGAAGAACACGGTAAAGATGTACAAATACCTTCACAAACAGTTCCTTCAATCGTGCTGACGAATCTAGATGTAAGAAGCCCATCAAGTTCTGGGACAGTAAAGCATAGATTTTTATTCCTCGTTATATGGATAGTAACCGTTTCTACCATCTATAAGAGATATTAGCTTGATCCGATTTTAAGGATCGTCAGTAATCATAGACTAGCGGATAAATTCACGTTATACTACTTTTCAATCGTGAAAAATTGGAACCTCTCGAAGCCTTGATTTTGTTTCATATTCGAACTATGACAGAATCCACCCACAAAATGCCGCAAATAAAGCCAGCAAGTTTACGATGATTTGTAAACGTATTCAATTCATTGTTTCATTTACTGAAAATTTTCTGCTCTCTGATATGTTTTTACTCTTTCAAATTTCGGTAGAATGTATCAAACTGATGCAAAGGCTATAAACGATTCTTTACCTTTATCAGAATGCAATGACCCACATACAATTCTGCCGCGCCGTCTGAGGAACGTGCTCCTCATCAAAATCTCTGAACATGCAGCACAAACTAAAAGTCACACTCACTTATACGATACCTTCCAACCAACCACTTCCATCGGCCCATTCAGCGCTGATCTCTTACCCGTTTACTCACTGTTATTAATGATATGCTTAAAGGCAGCGTCCAGGAAAATCTGCACCTATAGGGCCCTCACGTGAAAAGTAATCTTGAGGCCCTGAATAAAATTCTGCCCAAGCGGCAGCTAAGGTAGTGCACTCGCGGTTGAGATATGGCCTCCAAACTGGACCCCGAAATCGTATTCGCATGGAT